CAATTGTAGTATCGGCGTCATGTCACGTGGCGAAGACCATTCGGATCGCTTGCAGAGCAGAGCAACCCTTCATGTGTCAGAGCGGCCGAAGGGAGTGGACACCACGGAGTTTATACCGACAAACGAACCTTTGTTCCACACAGCAAGGGGGCAGCCCTTTTCCATCCACTCCGCCATTGAGAGTCATTTTCACAGCAAGACGGTAAAAATTCAACAAATTTATTGGGATGTATTTTTGTTCGTGTGTGTGTGTGCATTCATCGGTGGCTGGGCTGAGATCATGAACTCGCCACACGTTGAGAGTTGAAAACGCCGTTTAAGCCCAAACATGTGCCTGGATTCGATCCACGGTAATCTTCCCAGAAGCCCACCGACTGCTCTGACGTCTGTGCCACCTTGGGAATTATTACGACTGAATCCAGGAAACTGAGTCATTTGTTTAATGCTAAGCCACCTCTGGACCATAATAGGGGTTTTCCCTTTTTTTCTGGCAACAACACTGAAACCTTTTTACAAGAATTCATGTCTGCATTAACCACAATACCTGCAGTCAAAATGCAAACAAAAAAGATACTATGATAATATTTGCATTGTCCGTAGAACTGATTGGTCCACACCAAGGGACGGCTTTCTTTTGAGCCTCGACCCAATTGGTGCTCGACCAGATGACGCCAAAAGGCGTACAGCTCAAAGACAATGCACTATCAAAGTAATGAGGGCTCGGGGTGAGCACATATATTATCATAGTATGTTTTTTGTTTCCATTTTGACTGCAGGTATTGTGGTTAATGCAGACATGAATTCTTGTAAAAAGGTTTCAGTTTTGTTGCCAGAAAAAAGTGTAAAAACCCTATTATTACATTTTGGTACTGGCAAAGGAGGTCTAATGATGTAGATGCTGACCCGAGCCTTCATTACTTTGATAGTGCATTGTCTTTGAGCTGTGTGACGCCTCTGGACCACTTTACCACCCACTACCAATCACGGCAACCTGTGGGCAGGAGCCCCATCAAGGGGAGAGGGCTACAGGAACATTGAGCACATCAATGTCGCCTTCCGGGTAAAGCTACCCACGAGAGATCGCCGCCAACACCATCAATACCGTATAAGTGCACTCCTTTGGGAAGCGTGGGCCCTCGGTGACGTTGTCCGCTGTTTACATTCTGGGGTGAAGAAGGCGATGACGGACAGATTCCCTTCGTTGCAAGTAATTGGCCGTGTAAGTCACGCCGTTTCCTGACGTAATGATATGATTCCTTTCAAACTCTGTTTAGGTTACGTGTCTTTGAACATGATTTACACGTTTGTGTGCCGAGGTATTGCCGTATTTCTTCAGAAAGTAAAACAATTGCTATTTTAGCAAGAAGACAATGTTCATCTTCGTGAAATGAGAATAATTCAATGGGAGCAGATGAGTCGGAGTCTCAAGACTATTTTGCAAGAGGGTCCTGCTTGTGATATTTTACCGCTTCCTCTTGAAGCACTTTCGCTTGTGGAGAAAGAAGAAAACAAATAAACACAAAGCGTGCCTGGAGAAGACACGAAAACGAGGAGTATAAAACTCGACATCAACATCGACAATAGGTCCGGAACCTACCTGCTGTACTGCGGCGTGAATCACGAACCCCACCTCCACATTGCTGGATTCTACATTTGCGCGTGTGCCACCACTGTACTATGTAGCTTATGAAAATGTCATAATGCAAGCCACCTTTCGTTGTGACCAGTGAACGGGCCTGAGCATCAATGGAGACAATGTTTTGTGCTTTATGCATTATTCATCACGATGACCACACACGCACCACCTGGGAGTGATGGATGGAAGGCGCACTGAAGATGAATGCACAAGTTGCCAGGTGGCTCAGAGGTCAGATATGCTGAACCGGCACCGCTGATATCTTGGAGTCGAATCTGGGTAGCCACCCGTCATCTAAAAACTGGGTCCGCTTGTGTGGCAAGTTAATGGTCTCGGCCTGGTTACTACTGACTGCACACAACAAAAACCCATCATATAAAATATGGTTCATTGTTTTGGTGGGTGGGTGGGGATATTCCTGTACAGAGAATTAAAAATATTGGTTTTACTCCCGTTCTATAATTAATGTATCTTTGCAGGATGCATTTGTACGTGCAGCGTCTCTTGTGTGGCTAAGAAGATCTTGGAAGTAGTTCATTGACACATTTCCCCCCCACACACAAGACAGACTTGGGTTCTTACGTTATCGGACAATTAAGCAGTCATTAATTGTCCAACGAACACAGAGCTTGGGCAATTGGTGGTGGTGGCTCACCGAACTGATGCCTTCCCCGCTCGTCTGCGACTCCCAGTCGTCCTCTCCCCACGAGATCGAGCGAACGCTGTGCGCGCGTTATCAGTTGAAACGTGTTATTCTTCAGGGCGCATGCAGCACACACGCATACACACCCTGTAATTTGATGTCCCGCAGTTTGGTTAAACAATGCGGTGCATCCGAAAACTGTGTCCCGTTGCCTAGATCATTTATTGCAGTATCTTTGTGGGTCCCGTGCGTTGTATGCTGCCTTACGGAGACTCAAGTTTCAGCATTCAGAGACATTTTTTTTTAAATTATCTCCAGTGGAAAGTAAATAAAGCAATCGTAGGCATGGATCATGAGAACAAGGACAGCTGGTTTTCAGTTCAGGTAACACGCGTGTGATGTCGTAGGTTCACGAGTGTACACTATTTGCATTTAAGAATGATACCGTTGAACACGACATTTCACGTACCCGCATGTGAAACAGGTAAGTATGCTCTTTTATTGCATTCATTGCAAAACATAGTTCCACAGGTGTCAAGCATGAAAGTACAATATCAGGAAACGCATAATCGTGAACAACATGCGTAATAAATAATTGTCTTTCAAGTCATAAATATTTAACATTCTTTAAAAAAACACTGGTTCAAACGTTGACGCACTTATACACAACACGTGCTGCCTGTAAAACTCGACTATCACTATCGATGTTTATATATTTTTTTCAAATGGTGAGGTGCTGTTAAAGTTTGTTTAAAACACACACAAGTAAAGCGTTTCGAAACACGTATTTGTTCAGTGGTAGTTTGAAATGACGAAGCCGTGCTCGTCTGGGAAGTGTCCCAAACTGCAGTCGAGCGTTGTACTGTCGCCCCTTTAAAAAAATAAAAACGGGATTGTACATTTGATACGGTGAAATGTGTCACAGCCGGACTTGAGTCGGCCAATAATTTTGGGTACGTCGGAAGGCAACCCAAAATAAATAATAAATGTAGAATAAAAAAAAAAGCTTTGTAGGAGATGGCTTTCGTATGCTGACTCGCAATTCAAACGCTGCATACTTATCCATTGAGCCTGTTCCCGTGGATGCCACGTGTTCTTCTAGGCTCTCTCATGAATGTAATTTTTTGGTATTGATTTATTTCACCAATAATAACATTTTCAAGCCCATCAGAAAACCTCTTCAACCTAACAGATCTAGCAAAACCTCAGCCTTCTACCATACAATCTGGAGTTTTGTTTGTTTTTAAATTGTAAATATTCAATAGCATTTTTTTCAGTAAGTATTAAGTAATTGAGAATTCATGAAATATTGTAGGTGTTATTTCCATGTAAACGTCATTAAAATTTAGTACATATGCATTCCTTAATTATTCGTAGCACAGTACAACTCTTAATGGAAAGGCTCACCCCCAAGTTAACCAGCTTCAGTATGGAGAATTGCAGCGATGTCAGGTGTGGCCCAGAGTCATGAATGTCACAGTAAATTTCACAATGTTTACACACAAGTTGAGCACCCGTGAGCTACTGCTTTTGAAGCAAAGAGTAGGCACTCCTTCATATATTGCGTACATCGGGTAGATTCTCGAGTAAGATTGTCACGCACACTGCTCAGTGGATATTCGGCCCCAGCGTCTGACTAATATAATAACACATTGTACAATTGTCACAGCTGATATCATCACCATGGTCACAGTCACAAAATACTACATTCTGCAGCGACGCATTTCAGAAGTGCTGCAGTGTGCTAAATGTTGATTAAGTTCACCGATTTTATACTTGCCCAACCTTCGGGGTAGACGGTTGAGCGAATCTAAAATCGGTGAATCAGTTTAACGGTGGTTAGCGCACTGTGCTATGAGTCCAGCAAACTAAGTTCGATTACCGGCCACGGCTAACATCAGTGGCGAATTGACATCTGAACCAGTCCTGAGCCACCCCATTCACCTGCTCGCATTGTCCAGCATAGTGAAGTATGGTCAAATAACCCCCGTGGCCTCCGCGGCGTGTGGAAGTGCTCGCCCGGCAGGGGATTGACAAAGGGCCACAAATTATTATCTACTATTTCACCCTTCTAGATGTAATTATTACAGCTATCACTGCAGTACACATCGCTCGTTTTAAGAGATGGTGCCATTGCTTACTCATTACCCTGCACTCGCACAACATCTTATTTCATGGTTGGGCAACCCTGGGCTCCGAGGATCACGTGTGGTGAACATTCGCATGTTTTATCCAAGTAGTAGACGCGTGCAATGAATATTATCCCAATTGAAGCATCGCGTGAACGGCTGAGGAAAGTAATCGGGCTTTCGCAGGGTGCATCGCTCGAGGGGACAATGTGCCGTGGACGACGCTGGTGATTAAAGTTAAAGAGCACACACACCGAGCGGACAACCGCTACAGAGTGGAGGCAAAAGATACATTTTCGGGAATGACGTCGATTTTGACATCGCAGGATGGACAGGGATGGAAACGGCGTGAGGTCATCATACAGCAGTGGATAGGCAATGGCTGATGATGTTGATGATGATAAACTAAACAAACTCTTTTTTTTTTCATTTTACCAGGTAAGGCCCACTGAGTGGTTAAGTGGCTTATCACGTGGCAATTTAGAGCAGCCACAATCTCTCAAACGCAACGTTTCTAAATGTGGAGGGGAAAACCGAAGGACCCAGAGAAAAACTCCACGCGACCACAGGGAGAGAGACACGCACATTCCAAATATACAGCAGGCGTCAGGGTCGGGATCGAACCCACGACGTCCTTCATACCAGGCGAGGGAGTTAACATCTTGCCACCCTGGCACCCCCCGATGATGGTGACAATGAAGCTAGTACAGAATATCAATTGGTGTGGGAAAATAATATTTCCTTCAGTGGTCGTGTATGGGGAAGCTAATTAGAATATTAATGTGTCACTCCACGTAGAGAAATGTTAACCGCCCACCTTATCTGGTGGCATTTGAATAGCGTATCAACTCCTTGAAGAAATCTACGGTGATGGCCACGGCTGCAAGCAAGAAGTATTGACAACACTTTTATCAGTTTCTGTAAGTCATCGCATTTGGCACGTTATCTTGACAAACACAATCGAGGGCGCGGTGCAACCACGCCAATCATCTCACTTGCATGCATTTCGCGCTGTCGCCAATGTCCTCAAGGCATTTGTTCCGCTGGCGTCGCAGAAGATTGAGCCATTCACGCGGACTGAAGGTAGCCCTCGGAGGGACGAGGTCACTGTGGAAGTTCCGAACTTGTAATTTTACAGGCCGCCTCTGCGGATGCGCAATTACATAGATTTGAGTTTATCACGGTCACACAGCGTGTGGGTCTGTCTTTTGAAAATGAGCAAAACTATTTACTTGCCAGGAAATGGATACTGCTGCTGCATGCGGAAGGAAGAATAAATTGGATGCATTTGAACATGCGACAGGCCATTTACACCTGCCTGCAGCACCATGGGTGACAAACCATCGCTTTCCTCAAATAACTGTTGCTTTTGAGGCAACTGGCTGCTGCAAGTGCAATGTTTGACCATCCCCGGGTATCTCTTCTTTAACAGACCACCGAGAGAAAGCAGGCCTCTGGCACGACCGCACCACGACACGTGTAAACATTCTGCAGGCCCCAGCTGCTGCAAGAGGGATGGGGGTAGCGGCAGGGGCGTTCGGAGTTTCGCTCAAAAAGTGACCGGCCACTCGCTTTACCCCAACCACACCGGCCGTGGCCAGCCAAGCGTGAACCATGGCGAGGTGCAACATCGCGCGAACGACAAATCCGGTCCGGCAAGAGCACGCAAGTGGCATCTCAGCTCGGGGCACCGTGGCAACTGATCTGTGTGCGCGCTTAAGGGCTAGGGTGGGGGGGGGGCATAACTTGTAATGACACAAAATCAAAACTTTGTTAGTCTTCCTTTATAGAGGAAAAAAAAGTAACTAAATAAAAGTGTCTGCACGTTAATCATAGCAGGCTCGAGAACACTTTCGGGATTAGTGGTGGCTTCAAAGTGTAAACTACAGGATTGGCCACACACGTGGAGCTGTATACCACAGCGTCGGTTACACGACAGCGTCTGGTCTCCTGGAAAGGCACACGCATGTCACAAACGCAACGCCTTTCTCGTTGGAGTGTCTGCAATTTGATTTGGCACCAGACGTGGACAGATAGTGATGCGCTCTGGAAACCCTTATCGCCACATGTGTACACAAGTCAGCCAAGCAGTCACTCTGGAGCCAAGAAACCATCAATATTGCAACCATTGCATCCGAATCCATATGGGCGTCGAGCAACTCATATCGTGTGCGCAATTTAGCGCAGAACACGGGCGCCAATGTGAGCGCAAGAATGCGTGTCGATGCACACGCCAAACATCTGCGGGCACTGATGGCATCGTCCGTCACTGCGCGTTCACTGATGTGCACGCAACAAACTCCACTCGCTAAGTCGCGAGACTAACTGCGGGCTCCATATTCAGGTTCATTTTATGCGAGCCAGCCCCGAACGATGATTGATGACAACGCTGTAAAGTGATGACAATGTCCGTGACAGTGGTAACGGCGGTAATGGTGTGGGGGTAGGTCCTGACGCAAAGTCCGTGGCATAATGACGCTCGCTGCGAAGGACACTCATAACTCTGCATGTACGTGCGTGTGTATGTACGTGCATGCAAGCATTAAAGTGCATTTTTTTGTAAATGTGTTCTTAGTTCAGATCAGTTTACATATTTACATATTTCAGTGTTCACCACTCCAAACAGATTAACACATGTCCTGCTCATGCCGAATACCTTCTCTTGATTACAAAAGGGCCACACGGTGATATATATCCATAAATAAGGGCAGCGCACTGTATGAGGTAGCATTACCCAGGGCCTAATTTTAACTGGATCTGTCCTGGTCAGCTACGCCACACGAGTGTATCTCCAACCGTGGCCGAGGCTACCAGGAAGAGGCCTACTCCTGTCTACCAGCGACGCGGAACATCTTCAGTGAGACTTCAAGCACTGGCATTACTTGGGCCTGTATTTCAGAGGTCACCAGTCGAGTTCGATCTGTGGCTCCACCTCTGTCTGTATAAATGGGTTCACCACAGTCGATAAGCAATGCCGTGTTTGGTGGAATATCGTGCGAGTGATCTCACGTCTTGCAAAGGGGGGTCTGTCCAGCATGGAAGAGCACGCCAGAATACCCACCAGAGGGGCTCTCTTGAACTCCATCCAGTGGAGACACTTCCCCCGGCAGTGGTTGGGAGCAAGTGATGACATTTTTGTTGTTCTTTTGTCGTCGTCGTTAACCGTCACGTCTCTGCCTCTCGTCGACTCCTAGACAGCAGCAACAGTTCGCTGAACTTCCCGTCCGGCAACTCCAGGTCCAGGGAACTGCGGACGGAGTCCAGAGCACCGGGCTCGCCGCCACGGCCGAGGATCTCGGCCAGCCGTCCCGCCATCATGGGCGACGCGTCGGCGGAGCGGATGAGCTGCGCGAGCTGGAAGGAGGAGAGCGAGGCGGACTCGGAAGATCCACCGCCGCCGCCCTTGCCCTTGCCCAGATGGCGCAGCAAACCGGAGCCGCGAGAGTCGCCGCTGGCACGGTGGGGGAGAAGCGCGGCGCGGAGACGCGCGGGCACCGAGAGGAGGCGCTCGAGCACGGAGCGACGCACGATGATGAAGATCCACGGGTCGAGGATGGGGTTGAAGGAGGCGAAGCGTAGGCCGGCCAGGTCGCGCTTGAAGTCGGTGTTAGTGGGCCAGATGGCATTGATTAGAGTGGAGACCTTCGTGCGGAGGCAAGGGAGAGGGGAAGAGAGAGAACAACATCTCGGTGGGATTCACGAATCACCTGCTGCTTGCGACATGGTCGCTTCTGGTAACGATTTAGAACAATCCTGCCGCAGGGTCTTGTTAGTGAGCCAGAAATACCGCATTGCTTTACATTACTCTGCACGTGTGTGTGTGTAGCCCTTTGCTGTTCCACTGCTGTGCGATGGCCTCCCCATGCCGCGTGGGCCGTGGGGGTTCTTTGGCCGTACTTCACACGTTGGTTGATGCTGGCTGTTGAAGGTGGGGAGCATAGACGTGAAAGCGTAGAGGTACCGTTGCAGGTGTTGCCCACCTAAGTAGCTTCATATTTATACGAATGGGGTATAGCGCTTGCTTCCTCAGCCGTATCTGAATTTGTTCTGGCCAGTCCCTTCACAAACCTTATTTGACCAAAGTGGCGAGTATGACCCAAATACCCTGATGATAAACAGAGTGTAGGAGCGCCTTTATCCAAGTCTGCATTGACAAAAGTGCTCTGTGCATTTATTAGTATTTTATTCATCCACTGCATTTTGGATTATCTCACATCTCACTATAATTGTTTTGCACATAACGTGTAATGGTTTGGTTCTATGAGTGTATGCTACGGTCGTTAAATCCTAGATTATCACGAGAACACGAATAAAATAAAACGAGATCTGCATTGTATTAAATATATCGCTTTGGGAACTGTGAAATCTAAATATGTGTACTTTTTTTAAATAAGCGAAAACATTTCACACAAACGGCCAGCAGATCCGTAGGACCCATCATACAAATGATGAAATATGCACAATTAAATGGCCTATTAAATCCCATTACACTCATGCCAACGCACGCGAAAATAGATCCTGTGGCTGGACATAAAAAATGTGTGAATTTACACAATCTGTCAAATTGTAGAAGCAAAACAAACAAACAAAAACACGTGTTAGAGGGGGACTCAATGAAACTGCGACCATATGTTAAGCATTATTCATCCTACCTGAGAGTGGGAGTCCACGAGAAAAAATATAGTTAGAGCCATGCCAACTACAACAGCCTCATAGTCTCAAAGCTCGTGTGAAGCTCCTAAGTTAAAACATAATAATAGCATACAGCCCTCTGTCAATCCCTTGCTGAATAAAAAAACCTTCCCACGCTCTTTTGGTCATGGAGGTTATTTAACCATACTTTAAACTAAAACTAAACTATTTTTTTTTTATTTATGCCCACTGATCTATCTAGCTCTTTTTTGCAGAAGCGACCTGGCCACAAATGATAGCTCAACGAAGTTGGCTCATCGTGTGGCACGTTAGAGCAGCCACGTAATCTAAACGCGTGTTTCTAAGTAGCGGAGGGAAACACCGGAGGACCCGGAAAAACAATCCACACCACCACGGGAAAACATCGCGCCACCGTGGCGTCAACGACTGCAAAGTGCAAGTTGGTGAAGGGGAGAGAAGATTTGCGAGATATCACTCGCCACTAATGTTAGCCACGGTTGGGAATCGAACTCGTGTTTACCGGGCTCACAAGCGCAAGGCGCTACTCCCACCAAAATTTCAATTGCGTTTTGAGACAAAAGTCACCGGTAGCTCGTTACAAAGTGTACCGGTCAACAGCAATGGAGCTTGTGTTGGCCAAGGTGAAAATCTATTGAATTCAAAGAACAAACAAATCAATTGAACTCGACGTGAGCCGCGACAAACTAAAATAAAAGTTTGGTTTATTTTGGAGAAAACAAAAGTTCCACAACACGTTTTGCCTATTATACTTTAGCCAAAGAGCACCGGTATTTGAACAAAAGGCTGTCATTATAATTGCTAATAATAATAACAATCTTGATGTTGATTATGCATGGCCCCTAATGGGGTATAATTGCCGGCATCACCCTTCCGGGCGTGATGTAGACCAAGTCCAAGATCAAGTGATTATTATAGCCAGTGCAATGAATATGATAACATTATCCAGAGACTTCTGCAATACTCTGCTGGTTAAATAAATGATACGAAAGACATACAAAAAGCATTATCCGTCCCGTTTCGTTTTGGAAAAGGCCCAGTTTTCATATCATCTAAGGCAAACTTACAGAGTTTGTGATTGCCAAAAAGTAAAATCTGAACTGATATTTGCACACACAGCTGGTACATGCGGGGGGGGGGGGGGTACTCTAACGGCCGTCTGTTTTGCACAATCGAGTGAGGCCCCGTTTTGAAAGTTTTTAAATACAAGAGGAAAATAATAACACAACGGGAAATATAAGTTTACCGCATCATAAACAAATTACGAAAATAGAAAAGCAAACACAACAGAAGCAAATGACACTTTAAAATAACAGATATAACATACAGAAGTACACAATTAATGGCACAGAGCAATTATCAAAACATTCTCAGTTAACATTTCCAAGAAATGAATCTATTTGAACACAAGCTGACTGCATGAAACACCCAACTCTTCCGAATCTGCAAAGTGTTCATTTAAGAATTTTCCTCCAACTCCTTATCCCGTTCCTCCATCTTCTAAACATCGTTCCTCCAGTTCCGAAACCTCATTCCTTGGCCGCACGGAACAGAATACCCGCGGTTAGACTCCAGCAACAGGTGGCAAAAAGCCACAGGGCGATTCGGTGGAGTTCGCTGGAATTCTGCCATCGCCGACGTTGACGCCACGAAATCTGAAATGTGTCCCAGACACAAGGCCAGAGGAGCGGTAGCCAGGGCTACGCTCGTGTTTGCGGCCAAAACTAAAAAGGAGGCACAGCCGCAGGTGTTGATAACTCAAGTATGCACTTGCCAAAAATCCGACGGAAAGTCCAACGCCGCATGCCTGCAGTCTGCACCGTGCCGTGGCATACATAAATGTCGCTGACACATGACAGATGCCGTGCAGACACACGACGAGTACGGGAACTGTAAACAGTGTGCAATTGCGTCAACGTGCTTTAAACAGAATTTGCTTTACGATCACTCGCCACGGAATGAGAATTGCTCGGTTAGAATTGCTCGGGGGGGGGGGGGGGGGGGGGGATGCGTGACATCAGCAGGCACACTGCGTTACGCTTCCGCATGCGGGTGACATGACAGATGTGACGTCACAGCTCACTTGCTGTGCAAAATATATCCATTATTGCGCCCCCCCTCCCCCCAAAAAAAAATGTACAAAGGTCTATTTTAAAAAAAAATTGTGCATGGTGTACAGTCTGGAAAGTACCCACATGCAAAATTTCAAGTTTGTTGCATGTCAGGAAGTATGCTAAACATTTTGAACAGACACACATAATCACAAATTTCCCTTTTATATATATGGAGATAATTTGCCGTGCTCTCGTCAATCCACTGTTGGGTCCCGCGCCTCCCCATGCCGTGTCAGTCATCGGGGTTATTTGGCCATACTTCACTACGCTGGTCGGTGCTGCTTGCTAAACGAGTGGCTCCAATTGACCCAGGTCTTTGCGCCAGTTAGCTAACCGCTGCGCCCCAAATAGAGATTTTTTTTGTTTGGTTAGATGACGGAAATATATAAATGTGTCGTTAAAACCCGGCACCACTCGACACAGCCAACTGGTAAGGGTTGTCACGTAAGCAGAACGTGCCAATTCGTCACTAGCACAGCGGCGCAGTGGCTCTCCAGCAGCACCGATGTGTTGGAGAGCCAAGCCAGTGCGCCCCTCGCTCCACCTCAGCGTGCCTCGGGAAGAAGAAAGGGAAAAAAAACCTCCCCCGACCACGTTCAACGAATGCACGGTGAGTTGAACTTTGCGAGCAACTGGAACTTAGTTAGGTGTCCAAGATTGATTTGTTCACGTTGTGAAAAACGTGGCGAAATACACACCGCAAAAGGGTACTATCCAGGCCCCAAGCGAAATGCGGTCAAAAAGTTGGAACATTAATGGTCCCTATTTTTGGAGATATAATTTGGTGACGCTGCGTTGGCAGTGGGGCAATAGCACAATTATTCATTAAAAAAAACTCAAAAAATGTGTCAATAACACCGGCGTATGAAGAAAAAAATATGATAAACGATGTTTCGGGTAATGCCCCTTCTTCATGCACATTAAAAGGCCCAATATCCCAATACGTTGCCTATTGTACATCCTACTTTTAGAGGAGCTTTCATGTAGCCCTGTATCGTGCATGTAGTGATGGAGTTGTGAATGCGTTAAGCACGATCCGATGACACTGTCCTAACTTCTCAAATACGCCAAACATCCCCAATGCAGGACTCCGGTGAAAAAGGCGTCTTAAGACTCACGAACACTTTCACTGGTAAACAAAGTGCGTTGCTTACTCGAAACAAAGTTGTTACCAAGTATATTTTATACTCTCCGTGAAATTGCCCCCAACATCCTTCCGATAATAGGAAGCCACTGGAGCAATGCACTTTTTTAAATCTTTGTTGAAAACTCATTTAAAGAGCTTTTGTGTTTAGTCTGTTGTCCTTCCACCGCACATCGGTTGAGCACAGTTGGCTACGAACGTCGCGAAAGTAGTTCAGCGCACAAACATAGGACCCTCCTAAACATGGGCCTTGAGACGCATGGGATACTCTGAATGGTAAACCGAATTGTTATTTTAAATAACCAACATCGCTACGCAGTACGTATGTGTGAACACTTGTCGTGCAATTAGCCCAACATGCCAAACAAAAACTTCTCAATGCGTTAGGGACCAATCCTGCAAAATAGGAATCTCGAGACTCAGTGATGCTTTTTGTTGTTGCTCCTGGCTCATCAAAGATCGGTCATCTCCAGTGCCATTCGTATACGTACGGTTAGAGGCAGCGAGCACACGAGAAAGATGATGGTCATGAACACCAGCAGAACCAGGTTGTCCACCTCCACTCCGCGCGGCCTGTGGATGCGCTGCAACCTCTGCACGGAGATCTTCCTGCGGAGCGAGGCGAGGGGACTCTCTCGACCCGGCTGGGACGACGACGACGGCGGCGGCAGAGGAGGAGGAGGAGCAAGAGGCGGTGGAAGGGCGGCAAGCGGCGCCGAAACTCGCGCCGAGACGCGCCGGGAGTTGGGCACCGCGTCCCTCAGCGTGAGCCTCCTCCTCATGCGGAAGAGCGCGACCCCCGCGCCCACGTTGCACGCCACCACGGCGCCGATGAGCAGCGACGTGGCCGCGGCGTACACGAAGCCGTAGGCGCGCTCGAGCCTCGCGTCCACGTAGCACCACGTGCACGGCCGGTACATGCGCGCGCGCACCACCCCGGCGGCCAGCGGCAGCGCGGACAGCGCCGCGCTCACCACGAGCACAAGCGCGAGCGCGACGCGCACCCACGTCTGGCTCACGCGCCTCTGGTACACGTACGGGTGCGCGAGGGACAGCCAGCGCTCCACGGCCATGGTGCACAGGATGCCCATGGTGGCGAAGCCGAAGAAGAGCATGCAGAAGGTGAAGTAGACGCAGAGCGGGTTGCCGCCCAGCTGCTCGATCGTCTTCTGCGCGCCGTACGCGGCCAACACGAGCGGGCTGGAGAGGCAGGTGCTCAGCAGGTCCGTGACCGTGAGCGCGCACACGAGCGCGTAGAAGACGGTCTGCTTGCTGTCGCGGCGCGAGCACGCCAGGACGGTGACCGCCAGCGCGTTGCCCAGCACGCCGACGGCGAACATGAGGGCGGCGGGGAGGGCCGCTGACACCTCTGGGACCGCGTCGCACGAGCTCGCGTTCGACGTCGCGGCCGTGGTGGTGGTGGTGCTGCTGCTGGTGCTGCTGGTGGTGCTGCTGCTGGTGCTGATGCCGTTCATCTCCGCGGAGAGGGCCATGGAGGAGGCACCGCTGCTGCGTGCGCCGCTCAGCCGTGCCGGGCGTGTGCATTGTTGTTGTTGTTGTAGCGCAGCGCGGACATTCTTCTTGTGGTCCGCTCTGTCTTATCGGTCTGTCCGGCTATCACAAAGCGCCGCGCCGAGAAAAGGTGGGGAGGATGGAGGAGGGGGTGGGACGTAACGCAAAGTTTATCTCACGAGAAAAGCTGTCTCCTCGATCAACTTCCTTGCGTCCTTCGCCCACTCTTCAATGTGTCTCCTCCGTCTCGCCACAACGCGTTCGCGACTAATTGCGCAATCGGCGCCGCGGCCGCTCGAAGTCGGAGTCGGCTGCTTCTTTGTCTTGAATGACCTCGCCTAGTGCTGCACGCGCAGCGCGTGTCTCTGAGCGTGCGTTGTCTTTGTTTCAAGTGTCTCTGAGCGTGCGTTGTGTTTGTTTCAAGTGTCTCTGAGCGTGCGTTGTGTTTGTTTCAAGTGTCTCTCAGCGTGCGTTGTGTTTGTGCGCGCGCGTGCAATTTACCAACCCCTGGAGGAGGTTCCAGCGTCCAGGACTCGATGTGCCTCTCCCCCCACGTTGCCCGGTGTCGTCAGTTTGAGTAAGAAGGACCCAAAAAAGTAACGTGCTTGTCAAATGAAAGTGTCCGTCGTTGTGCAGCTCACTGCCTATACACCCTTAGGCCCCCCCCCCCTCCCAGCCACCTCCTCCTCCCATTAACACACCCCCACACCCACGCGTTGCTCAATGTGACGTGGATACTCGAGAGCAAGGCAGGGAGTAGGGCACGGCGAGAGAGGAAGACGGGGGGGGGGGGACAAGTTGGAAAGAAGCCGCCGCCCAAAGTAAAGAAGAACAACTGCATTTTGAGATGTTGTGTATTGCCTCCGGGCGTCATAAGTAAGCTCCGTCAGTGCTTTCGTCGTGTGTGTCTGTGTTGTCCGTGTGAGTTGTGTTTCTAAGACAACTTGGCACCTGTTTCGCCGAGTTCACTCTCACGCACGCACGCGCGCCTGTCATTACAATAGCATCGTCACCTGCGTGCCTATCGGGCAACTGCGCAATGAGCATCGGCAAGAGCGCACGGCGCAGCAAACGCAATCATTGAAGTCATTATTACACAGTGACGAATTCGTTGCTACGCGGGTTTACGATAAATATAGAAGCGAGCGAATTTTCGCCGTTGTATTTGCTGGTGTGAAGGTGTGTAAGCTGATCGTTGCAAGGATTGTGTTTTTGTTTATATATACTTGTTTTAGGATGGAAGTGGAACACTTGTGTCAACATTGCCACAGCTGGATGGAGGCTTTTTCCCCCACACGCCGGGTCGGTAGTTGGTGGGGTTGTTTTGACCATACTTCACCACGCTGGGCGCTGTGGGTCGTTCGTTTTAGGGGACGCCTAGGACCTGTTCAGGTATCACTGGGCCACTGATGGTAGCCATGGCCGGCAGACAAATTAATGGATTTTATTTTTCTCTTGATATTTGCTCTATATAATGGGTACATGTGGATCCCTGACAGCCGTTAGAGGAGACTACATTCGCCACGCATATGTGGGATGGACAACAGCAGGGAAATTAAACGGGTGCTGTTCGCAAAAAAATTGGAAGGAACTGGAAAGAGAGGAAGACCTCACAGAGAGAAAGATGTGGCCACAACTTAAGCATATTAGCACTACAAGTTAGAGACAAACTGTGAACGACGAAGTGTGTAGTGGCGATGATGATGGTGATGGTGAAATTCGCCACAATGTAAAACATCAATAGCTGATCGAATCGCGCGACAGTGGAATCATCGCAGGAGTGGGCACGGGGTTCTTGGGTACACACCGAGTTCTGGTTGAGCCCTCTAGCCCTACTCGGAACAACAACAGAATCTACCCCACTCAGCCACCATCGCATGTCTGCATGTGTATTTAAAATAAACTGTTATCGCATCACATACCGTATGTATTATGCATCTTGAACTTCTTTTACACCGTACGTGGCCAACAAACTGAACACAAAAAGCAGTTCTGAAGAAATTAGTTTGTCATAGGTACTTTAAAAGTGCATGGCTTCCGGTGTCTTCCTAATATCGGAAGGAAGAGCGTTCCAGACGGCCGCAGAAGCGCGTGTAAAAACACGCGATGCAATGGCCGTCTTTGTTTGATAGTCAGCCAAAATCCGCTGCCAGGATGACCGGAGTTTTCCTGATGCCTTATGCTCCCTGACGAGATCAGAAAGGCAGTATGGTTTATTTGTGGCAAGCACTTTGCGTGCAATGAGTGCGACATTATAATTTAAAATGCACACATTGTGGGTTTCCTCTATATCGACTGCACAACTGATGATGACTTGCATTTGAAGGCTGGAATTGAGTAGACGATGATTTACTTAAAGATACAGTGATACCCATACATTACCTGTAGATAAAAATGTGTATTTCAAAGCCTCGACGTGTCTCTCACCAATCTCAACAGTACGCTCATTAAATATTTTAACAACTCTCCCGTGTGAGATAAGTACCCACCGCCTTCACAATATTCAATTAGCTGTTGAGAATAAATTAATGGAACAGGGGTATCTATAAATGGATTGTCACGTACAATATACAAACGGGTTGGCTCAGATGAAGCCACACAATGTGTGGCTGCACTGAGCCTCGATATTCCTGTTTTTCAGGAATGGTCCCCCTTGCCTTGAGAAGTTATTTTTTTGGCATATTGGGGCAATTGCATGATACGCGCTTACACACACGTACTGCGTAGCGATGTTGGTTATTACATATGACGCAGTTTTCGAGAGTATCCAATGAGTCTCAAGGCCCCTTTTCAGGAGGGTCATATCTATATATGCTGCGCCGTACGTCGCCAACCGTTGCTCATAGGAGGTGCCTTGGTTCTTGCTGTGACACATTTTAATACACGGACTGTGCCCAGCTTCATAGACGACACAGGCTGCATTCGAGTCAACATATTTGGAGTGGCGAGCCACGGCCAATTCGTCATTTGCTTCGATCCACAGCTCTGCTGGCCCCCATGCGATTCGGTGGCTTGAAACTCATTAGTTACACGCATTGTTGAATAATGCCCACAGAAAAAAAAAACACTACGAGTTATATGTATATATAGAGAGAGTTTAGAGAGAGTGTAAATGCAACTGCATCTCCCCACGCTGTACAAGCTCTGCGAGACGCCCATGCATTAGCTAGACCCTCTTCCTTCCGATATTAGGAAGCCAATGGAGCTATGCACTTTTAATTCTAAATTCAAAACTCATTTCTTGAGAACTGCTTTTTGTGTGTTTCGTGTTGTTGTCCTTCCCCCGCAGCCTACGATTAGCGCGGTTGGCTACGTTCAGCGTACACACACGTACATACACACAGACACACAGATACACACACGTACACACACACAGACACACGTAGACACACACAGACACACACACGTACACCACACAGACACACACACGTACACACACACAGACACACACAAACACACACACGTACACCACACAGACACACACACACCCACGTACATACACGCAGACACACACAGATACACACAGACATACGTACACACACAGACACACGTACACACAGACACACACACGTACACACACGTACACACAGACACACGTAGACACACGTAGACACACATAGACGGTCATCAGCATCCTCATCACGTGTCCACGCACCGTGCTCTACGTACTTGGCAACGTGAGTTGGATTCCTGGCCACGGCTAACATCGGTGTGACATCTGAATCGGTATTGTCCCCACCCCCGCCTGGCCCCCCACCTTCCTTCACCTTGATCATTGATCCGCGTGCTCAATATGGTCACCCCCCCCCTCCCCCACACACACTTGCAGGTCGATAACAACCTAATTTTTCAAAAGTTGACTGATCGCGCGTTATTTTTAGAATGCGTTTATAGCAAAGCCCGGATAACCCTCTGCTTGGATTGGTGTCCGCCAAGTGCACGGATGGTTGTTATCGGCGGCTGTGGGGCTCCGTTTCGTGATGACCAGCAGAGGGCATTCGGACCAAAATAACACCCGTTGTACCGTACTTCTATGCTCCCGTGCCTCGTTCCTCGCCATGAACTCAACAGCTTCGCACACACTGGTCAAATAAACACTGCGAGCCTCGTCCAGCAGTGGATCGCTGACATAGTCGCTTCAGCAGGTTCCGCGAGCTCGTATTGGTACGTGTTCACTTCAGTTGCATCCAAATTGTGCAAGAGGTGTCACGTCACGAGACAAAAGAGAGATGTGAAACTCTTGTAGGGCAGGGAACAAACCCCCTGTGTTGGAGAATGGCCCACGCAAGCAGATATGACAGAGCTACATCTAAGGTCACTCAAAGCGAATTCTGATCCACACACGGTAGAGGACAGGTATCTTCCCACCTGCGCTGCCTATTACAGTAATGCCCTTGGCATGACGGTCAAACCGATATTTAATTCTCAGAGCAATCATGGATACGCGCATTGAGAACATCACACGAACTCCACTTGAAAACCCCAGTTTAATCACAGGCCACTGCCTAGATGTGCACCCAGGTACACAACGCTGCGAGCTCAATGATCTTGCCTCTGAATCACCCAGCCACCTCATAACGGTGATTGAAATGGCTCCCGAACAGATGTTCCCGTTTGAAATTGAATTTTGTAAAATGCCCTCGGAGCCTCTTGTTTTCCACATGAGGCCGGCAGAGTGGCCACAGCGCCAGACAATATACAGACCCCGAGGCTCGTTTTGTTCAACAACACAATACGTGCTCGTACGTTTACATGCAGCATGTGTACAGGTGTAAGAAATGCGCTCGGCAGCGGAATACAATAACGAAGTCAATTCGTACACTAAACGCGACTGCATCTCAAGATGCTGTGCAGAACCATGTGGCATCTGTTTTTTTCTTCCGAGAGAGGCAGTCGGGTCACGGGCAGAGGAGAGCAGGGAAAGATCACGAGGCCCGGGGCTTAAATAGGGTGGCAGGAAGTCGACAGCACGGATAGCTGCGGGAAGGTAGCTTCAGAAAAGCTTCAGCAGAAGATAGTGAGCAAGCTCCCGCTGAGCAAAGGTCGACTGGAGGCTTCGACAGGTAAGCCGAGCTTGCTGCAGCAGAGAACACGTGGAGGGAAGTGGAGGGTGATGACAGGGGAGATGTATGCAGGTTGGGTGGGGGGGGGATTGATGGAGATTCTTGAAGACTGTGAGCGCGATATTGAAATTGATCCGGGATTGGATTGGGAGCCGGTGGAGGGATTGGAGTATTGAATTGATGCGATCTCGTTTATGGATGCGGGTGAGAATTTTGGCGGCGGTACTTAAAACCATCTGAAGTTTGGAGGTGCGGAATGTGGGGAGATGAGGGGTTTGGGGAGTTGCGCTCATCGAGTCGGGTTGTGACGGTGGCATGGTGGAAGATCTTAGTGGTAAGATGGAGAAGAAACAGCGTTGGATACAGGAGATGTTGTGCAGGTGGACGTAGGAGCTCCTCCAGAGTTGAGATGTGTATGTTGAATTCCGTTCGCACTGTACGTAGCCAGCCGTGCTAATCGGAGGTGGGGGGGGGAAGGACAGAAAAGTGAACACACAAAAAACTGTTCTCACAAAATGAGATATCAATCTAGATGATTTAAAAGCGCACAGCCCCAGTGGCTTCCTAATATTAGAAGGAAGAACGTCCCAGA